GGAACATCTTTCTACATCTGATGGAGGAACATCTTTCTACATCTGATGGAGGAACATCTTTCTACATCTGATGGTGGAACATCTTTCTACATCTGATGGAGGAACATCTTTCTACATCTGATGGTGGAACATCTTTCTACATCTGATGGTGGAACAGTGTGTAGGGTCACTGTTTGCTTTCCAGTCTTGGTACCACCTGTGGACACCCAGAACAATGCTGGTTCCAGGTTTCCTCAGTTTTTGTTTTCAGAGAAATGCAACTTTTTTAACATTTAGTTTTCTGGTTTCTGTCGTTCTAACTGTGACGTCTCTGAGTTCTGTCTCCTCCTCCTTCATGCGGTTCTGATTCCACAGAGCTGCAGAGGAACTGAACCTCAGTGAAGGAACACGAGACAGGAGGTAAAAAGCACACCCAGAATCTGCTGCTAGGAGTTCAGAGTGTTAAGCTAAATGAAAAAGGAGAAGCCAGTAGCTTCATGTGGTTTGACAGAACACGTGTGCTGCGTTTGGTTTCAGCAAGATAAATGCTTTCCAGTTTAACGAGAGGGAAGTCGGGCTTTCCAGCTTTTCAAACACGGCTGTAAGCAGCAGGGGTCTGCAGAGTGTCTGCTGCTTGGACTTTCTCCCGACTGCAGACGGTTCCCTGCTCCACGCAGTCGTCCCCCTCAGCTCCTCTGATGGCTTCGTTCGCTGCTCGAGCCCTCAGTTAGCGCTGATTCACCAGCACTGGAATGATGGGAGACTCTGACTAAATGTGCTCCTGCTGTCACACTTGAGCCGCCGTCTGATGGGATGCGGTGCAGCTCAGGCTTCGTCCTGCAGCAGCTGAGCTCGAAGGAACCCGGCGAGGAGCTGCAGCTTCACGGTCAACAAATGTTTCCACACATATCTGAGGGATGGATGTTGAATGTGGTGCAGAGAGCTCCTGACTCCTCCTCTAGCACCACCATGTTGCCTGTCTACTCATTAGACAGTCGTGGTCCCCAGAGGATGGACCTTCTCCTCTTGTTCAACCAGCAGTTTGGCTTCAGAGTAAACGTGATTCTCAGTCCTCAGTTTGTTTTCTGAAGGAATCACTGCAAGAAAAATCCCTCGTCCTCCCCAAACCTCCTCAGAACCTCCTCAGAACATCTGGTTCTGATTCTGCAGAACCTCTACCTATTGACCAGCGTTCTACCTTCAGACTGTGAATGTTCCAGAGGTCCAGGTCCTTCAAGTCCACAGAGGAGGGTCCAGATTGATCACTTTAATGGACTTTTTCCATCAGTTCTGAGCCTCAGAACTTCATCAGTACAGCAGATAGACACATGACATTTAGGAGGAAGAACACATCTGGGTTCTGATAGAACCTGACACCAGATCAGTTCTACATCCATCCAGGTGTCTCAGTCTGAACCCTGGACCTGGTGTTGGAGGATACGTTGGTCTTGGTGAAACATCTTCCTACAGCTGAGAGAAAAACACACAAAAAACAATGACAGCAGCAGAAGCATGTTTAATCACAGGACTGCATCTGGCAAATGGTTTGGAGCAAAGAAGTCCTAAAAAGTTTGTTGCTGTGACTGTGAAACCAATGAACACAGCCCGTGTACTGCAGGAAGGCTTGAATTAAAACATTGTTCCACAGAATAATACGAAGTCCAGAAACTCAGCAGTGTGATGGCGGTGAGCAGGATCAGGCTGCTGGAGCAGGACTCACCACGTTCACACAACCTGTGTTCACAGAACCTGAGGAGCCTGAACAGCTCGGACAGGTGTGGCAACGAGGACCTGAAGGTACTCCTGACTTCAAACAGCAGAAGGAGATGAAATGCAGGCGGACGATGGAAGAGAGGGTGAAGCCACTAAAAGCAGCCTCTGACAGAACAAAACACACGAGGTCCACGCTGCGACTGCTCGGCAGTAAAACAACGCCTCCTCCTGGTTTCCATGCTGTGATGCTGTGGTTCGGCCTCGAGGGTCCAAATTGTTCGAGGTCTTCCATCAAACTGTCGCTGGTTGTGGTGAGAAAGAATCAGCGCTTAGTCTGGGATTCAGCAGAAGAAGAGTTGGTGGCGTGAAGAGCCTGCATGGTAGAATCAGAGGGTTCTCAGCTTTTCGATTAATCGCCAACTATTTGGACGATCAGTTCAGTGACGTGATTGCAGCTTCTTCAGGAGGAATGTTTCCTGGTGTCTTTCCTCTATGACAGTAAACTGAAGGTCTTTGGACTAAACAGGACGTTTGAGGAAACTCGTGGTGCCCACTGGTTGGTGCTGATGGTTTGGGCCCAATGACTGAATGCTGGCCTGAGTCTGGGTCAGCTGGTGTCGAAACGCAGCAGATGAAATCATGTTTGACATGTAAATGTTCTCAGTTTTAGTCCTCAGATCCTGTCGGTGACGTCGTTCTTATGAGTTAGCCTCAGAATGTGACAGCAGATAAGATGAGCCTCAAGCTGGCTCTGTCTTTAAACTGCTAGATCTCCATGGTAACCGATGCTGCACAGCCTGATCACCATGGTAACCGACGCTGCACAGCCTGATCTCCATGGTAACCGATGCTGCACAGCCTGATCTCCATGGTAACTGATGCNAGAGGGTAGATGTAGAGTCAGAGGGTAGATGTAGAGTCAGAGGGTAGCTTGCCTGTAATTTAAAACATAAATAAATACATGATAAATGATATACTAATCTATGAAACAAAAAGGGAAAATGTGATGTGTAAACATGTCGAGCTCCATCTGTGGTGAGCTGAATCTCCTGAACTGAGTCCAGGTTCAGTGGAACTGGTCACCGTCAGAGTAAACTCAAGTTACAGGATTAAAACTACTTGTATTTAATCCAAGTATCCACGTACTTAAAGAGCACACAGTGCTACAGAACCAGATTTGTCTTTGTGCCATGTTAAAGGTCATTTTCAAAATAAACTCTTCACATTCTGAATACAGATTGGATGATTGGAGTCGAAACATTTTTCCTCAAACCAGTCGCAGCGTTTAAAGTAGCAGACAGAGTAAATGCTTCATGGAGCAAACAAATGTCAGGAGAATTATCTGCTGATTTAAATCCCATCACCGCAACTCTTTGGATGTTCAGGTTTTAGGTTTAAACTGACCTTTTAATCTGCCTCTCGTGGTTTTGAAACAGATTTTTCTGTTGCGGAGCACAGCAGCTGGTTGTTACTGGTTAATCAGTCCTGGTTTCAGCTGCTGCTCTCCTGCACCATGACTTTCATCCACTTTGCATCGAACTGAAACGCTCCCTCGCTTCGTCTTTTCACACAGAGGGGATGAATTTATAATAGTCTTCATGCACTCCACATGAGGAGAGTAAAGATGCCGTTAATGAGACAGTGCGTTCCAACAGCAGCAGACGGGGCTTCACGTGTCAGGCTTGTTTTGAGAAGATCAAAAATGCTTCTGGCTCCGTCAGACGTTCATTCGACGGGGAAGTTTTCACTTGTTTTCTGTTGTGTGTTTCCTCATCATTAGTGAGGGCCACGTTTACAGAGACTACGAACCGTCAAAACCCACAGGCGAGTTTCAAAGGCAGGTTTTATTTTGAAGGAATCGCCAAAATGACACCAGAAACTGTAAAAACAGAAAGAATCACTGAAGTTTAACTTTCAGACTTTGTTTGAATGAACCACGTGTAACATTCGGTTCTGTCGAGAAAAATAACCAAATCTGAGCCAACAGCTGTGTCGAAACATGATCCGTTTGTACCTGACGTGGTGGAACATCTTTCTACATCTGATGGTGGAACATCTTTCTACATCTGATGGTGGAACATCTTTCTACATCTGATGGTGGAACATCTTTCTACA